AATAGGCAGTGGATTTAAACTGTATGAAGGGATCCTCAGGCAAAATGTCTTGGAGCCACCGATCAATTGGAAAGACCGTCTGTTAGAACGTGATTAACAGCTTTGGTGCAATTTGCAAAGCGCACATAATAAGTACAATTCAGCATCGAGGGCCCCGGTTTGATTACTAGGCCACCCCCAAAAACGCTATACTGAAGGAATATGAAAGAAATTTTCTATACTATACGACACAATAGCGGTGTGCCATTAATATTAATATAATGTGTTAATTTTAAGGTGAGATTGTTAAGGAGGAGGGATGGGTGATTAAAATATATTAAACATAATTCACAATTTGTTTACTCATTTGGATTTCGAAACTTATTTTTCTAAGGATAATTTTTTTCCAAATACCTTTTTTCATAAAATTTTTCTATTGCTTTCTCTGGCCAATGTTAAAATTCAGTAATATCTTTGTTTTTTCCTGAAGGAAACTGGTAACAACAAGCGTTATTATTTCATAATATTTATTTAGACTTTTGAAATTTGTGCTCATGACATTGAATATAATGTTCAAAACACTTCACTGCGTTAACCCATTCCATTATCGCCAAAAATTTTCTAAGTTTATGGAACCTATTCTACTGTACACGCAGTCATCTTGGCAGCCAAATTAATAACGGGCCATAACAATGTTTCTGTACTAGTCTGGTAGAAAACATTTACTCTACTCCAATTCATAGACCACTACGTCATATCAGCAATGGTTAACACAAGAAGATTTAACAAAGTAATTCACAGTAAGTAAGAAGAGGGAGATTATAATTAATGACAAAACTTGAAACTAATGTTTTATGACCAGCCAGTACAACGCCTGGGAGTACCAAGTGACACCAAGGTACGCAAATGTCAGGACGACTTCGTACAGTACAGTCCTTCGAGTGCAAGAAGTCTTACATAAGACAACCTCAAACTGAACAACACTTAGCTGTATAAAACTGACCTATGATGCCACCCCCCGGGGGTTGAGGGCTATTGGCACCTGGTATCGTGCCAGGGGTGTGGGGAGCATTATTGTTGTTGGCGTTGCTTGGCAACAACCCATGTTGCTGGGGACCACCATTGTTGTTATTGTTGGGCTGAGACACACCTTGCTGTGCAGCCTTCATCATCTTCTTATATTTGCTTCTTCTGTTCTGGAACCAGATCTTAACCTGCAACAAACGGAAAACACTCTTCAGAAAAGTGACGATTCAAGCTTTTTTATGTTATGTACGATATTACTTCAACGACAGTCACATGGTCGCCGACTGAAATCACGAATAGAATGCGGGTAAGGATTTGAAGATGGAAGGAGCAAAGACCTCTGAAACGTCGGTAAAATTCTACCAGACTACACGGCGCAACAACCCAGAAGACAGAAATCTTCATACTCTGATGACGGAGGCAGTATGACCGCTGAAACGTTGGTTAACATCGACCAGACTACACAGCGCAACAACCCAGAAGACAGAACTCTTCATACTCTGATGACGGAGGCAGTATGACCGCTGAAACGTTGGTTAACATCGACCAGACTACACAGCGCAACAACCCAGAAGACAGAACTCTTCATACTCTGATGACGGAGGCAGTATGACCGCTGAAACGTTGGTTAACATCGACCAGACTACACAGCGCAACAACCCAGAAGACAGAACTCTTCATACTCTGATGACGGAGGCAGTATGACCGCTGAAACGTTGGTTAACATCGACCAGACTACACAGCGCAACAACCCAGAAGACAGAACTCTTCATACTCTGATGACGGAGGCAGTATGACCTCTGAAACGTCGGTAAAATTCTACCAGACTACACGGCGCAACAACCCAGAAGACAGCCAACTTCAAACTCACCACCGCGAAAACCTCAAAACCTACATGGGTAAGGAAAAAGTTTGAATTTTCTGGTTTCAGCGAGGTGATATCAATACACATAAAAACACCAGTTACAAAGTGTACATACAGAAAGTAAGTTTTAAATACAAAGAATTCAGTTATATTTAAAAGCCTAATTAAACAGCTGTAAAATAATGTATAATAGTTAAATCAATTATCGTAATGACTCATTAATTCTTTCCATACAATTTATAGTTACTCTGCTACTATGTACCTCTCACTTTAACACTGACTTATAAGTTCCTTGTTCCTTTTCATTAATTGTTCCAATATTCCATTACATTTCCTCCCCTGCTGCAACGGCCAAAACCCATCATAAGGTAACAGATAAAAGTTGCATTGCAAAATTTGAATCAATTCCGTAGAACATATAAATGATATTTGGACACGGAATACACAACACGCAAATTAACTGCTAACATCTGTCTCTTCAGCTAACTTTAGAAGTGACGTCTCCAACTTGCAGATTTATTTTACATTATGTCCTATAGAATGACCACTGTTTCAGAGGTACCTAGTGCTTTCATCGTGAGGACAATGTGTGTACCACAGATAGACAGAAACTTCATCAATATCCCGAATTGTTATTCTTCAGGTCCAAATGGTCTCCGCACCAAACTGTCCTCGAACACTTTCAACCAAACACCTGTTACTCCCTTAAGGTTTGACACCAGAGTTTTCGCACACACATGAAACATAAACTGAAATAAGAATTTTGTTTATTTTAATCCTCAATTTCTTAATCGTGAGACGAGAACATAAAAGTGTCGTACCTTAACCCCTTATAGCCCAATGATTAATAAATTTACCACCTGCTGTAACAATCAATAAATCTCCAATTTATATTTGTGAGTTTCGAAAGATTCTCACTGTAAACAGTGATTATGTCTTTAACCACCGTCATCCAAATGATTTATGTAATGTTAAGTGTAGCATTTTCTTTGCAGTACGGATTTAATTTTTAAATATTATTTAGAAAAAATTGTGCTTCTGCGGAATAACTGAACCAGTAGTAAAGAAACTCCCATAAAGAGGTCCTGTAGAACAGTGACATCAATGCACGGTACAAACTACATAAATCTCTTAATTACGAAGACGCAAGTATCGTGTACACGTGTCGCTCGGGATAATTACTGAGTGGTATTCGGTTACAGTCTTGAGACTAGATCAAACTTGACGGAAGGGTGTAATCAGGAGCACCTGAGAACCCCTTCGTGTCCAGGAAGTCGTTGATACTCCTGGCGCAGAAGACACAAGAACAAGAACGAATTACGTCACACAGACTACTGAAGTAAAACGCGTTTGCTGCTGAGGAAAATATTTTGTTTCCAACAGGTGTTCCAAGGAGATCAAATATTTATTTGTATTACATGAACGACGACGTATAATCGTGGCATAATATCCGTTAATAAATTCACTTTCTATGTAACTGGAATGCCATAATCAAAATTTCGTCAGTAATTTTGGTAAATTTATCTTTTCGGACCCACAGAGCTCCAGTGTACGACCGTCCGTCCTGTCCACTGTAAATGTCGGAAAGCATGAAGAAAACAAACACTTGGAAAACATAGGTGTAGATGGGAGGACAGTGTTTAAAACGTATGAAGACGTGAACTAGATTCATATGGTTCAGAATATCGCTCAGTAGCGGATTCTTGTAAATAAAATAATGTACCTTCGAGTTTTATAAAAGACGGGCAATTATCCTACTGAGCAGGTTCTCAGAGTAGGACTTCGTATCAGAACTTAATTCAGAAGTTTTAGTTTTTCTCTTTGCAACTTTGTACTTGATTGTAATATTTGTTTATTTGTAATTTTTATATATTTATGGTAATATTTTAATAGGAATTTTATTGTGATTAGACTGACACGATTTAAACAAATATATATTTATCACAATATGACGCAACTTTATTATCTCTTGGTTGTAATATTTAAAATTTGTTTTTCGTCTGCTTAATTCGATTGGCCAAGGGCGCATGCACTATTAAGCGTCTTTTATATTAAGAACTTCCCAGCACGTGGACCTACTGGACTCTTCGCCATCATTTCTTGATTAAAATGGCTTGTGCTGAAGAAACACTCCCATTTCCTACCACCCGCATTTCTCTCAAACTTTCGTATTTTTCTCTCTTGCTTATAATATTTACACAGACTTTTATCTTCCTATTTGCGTAAGCTGATCCCCAATATAACACGATTTTTGGCAGGAAAGTTTTAAGATGTGCATTTCAGTTTTGTATCTTTCCATGCTAATAAAATAAATTAGAATTCTTACAGTGCGCTTAAACTTAATGTTCAGTGCAAAATGAATTATACTTATCTAGCATAACTAGTGAAATATTTAACAACATGAAATTACTAACTGTCACATATAACACTCTTATATTCAGCGGCGTTCAAACCAGCAAGACCGCTTTTTGTATCTTTGTGTCTCTCCCTCCATTTTTTGTAAACCTTTCTTTTCGGGTTTTTACTACACAGTTTTTATCGTTCCTGTTTCTCTCAGACTATCTCGATTCTCAATCTTGCTTTACCATTACTACTGCGTACCATGTTTCTGAATGGATAGAATAAATTGGTTTCTTGTATTCTATAAGCCGCTGTCCCAAGGGATATGTTACGGCACTTAACAGAAGACCGAGGGACGTGGCCCCCATTCCTCTTCACATCCGTGAGGTACCCGCTTCGTATCTCGTGTGGGACTAATCATCCAGATGGCGCCAGTTTCTCGAGCGTAACAAAAATATTGTTATAAAACATAAAAACTCTTAGAAATAAATTATGGGTTTTCGTAATGGTCACAGATTTTCTCTGTCGCCGTGTGGACTTGTAGATAGATAACGTTTCGGAGAAAAATACTGAATCCACGTAGGATTTGAGGTTTTCACAGCGGGGAGTATGAAGATTTCCGTCTTCTGGGTTGTTGCGCTATGTAGTCTGGTCGATGTTTACCAACGTTTTAGAGGTCATACTGCCTCCGTCATCAGAGTATGAAGATTTCCGTCTTCTGGGTTGTTGCGCTATGTAGTCTGGTCGATGTTTACCAACGTTTTAGAGGTCATACTGCCTCCGTCATCAGAGTATGAAGATTTCCGTCTTCTGGGTTGTTGCGCTATGTAGTCTGGTCGATGTTTACCAACGTTTTAGAGGTCATACTGCCTCCGTCATCAGAGTATGAAGATTTCCGTCTTCTGGGTTGTTGCGCTATGTAGTCTGGTCGATGTTTACCAACGTTTTAGAGGTCATACTGCCTCCGTCATCAGAGTATGAAGATTTCCGTCTTCTGGGTTGTTGCGCTATGTAGTCTGGTCGATGTTTACCAACGTTTTAGAGGTCATACTGCCTCCGTCATCAGAGTATGAAGATTTCCGTCTTCTGGGTTGTTGCGCTATGTAGTCTGGTCGATGTTTACCAACGTTTTAGAGGTCATACTGCCTCCGTCATCAGAGTATGAAGATTTCCGTCTTCTGGGTTGTTGCGCTATGTAGTCTGGTCGATGTTTACCAACGTTTTAGAGGTCATACTGCCTCCATCATCAGGGCGATTCTTAGGATGAAGATTTCTGTCTTCTGGATTCTTGCGCTGTGTAGTGTGGTCGATGTATACTAAATTCATCTTCAGGGTTAAAGTAACCTTAAATATGGCGGCGGTTGGAACCTCTAAATCAAGTAGAGGGAATCCTTGATAATATTCAGTGTAGGATCGATTATCCTCTTCCTGAAGACTTCATATTCTTCTTCATTGCCATTTCTGTATCACCATCTTTGGCCTATTACATTTCAAAATTGACTTTTAAAACTACGAGACGAAGTACTTAAAATTTGCACTATTGTTATCATTATTTAAAGATCGCATTTGTGGACTCCACGAATAGAAGAGCCAGTTGCTTGTTCTTGAACCATCACTTCCACACCGACCGTGGAGTCCACCCAGCCCTCTAACCAACGGGTACAATGTCTCCTTCCTTCAGGGGAGAAGCTCCTAGAGGGTGAAGCTGTTCGCTGTCAGTTCCATCCACCTTTCTGTTAAGAACGGTAGATGAAGCATTGTAAATGGCATTTTTTTTTAAAGTTACGTCGTAGAAGCTTATAATCGAAATCTTTACCGCAGTGAGAAGATCAAATCTCAAACATTATCTTTTCTTTGTTTTTAGAGACTTTCTGTGATTTTGATATTTAAGTCGTTGCAATTCTCAGCTTACGATTAATGGATTCGAACTCCAAAGTCTTTGCCCTCATGAGACAAATCCCCTGGTATCATCGCCGCATACCAGCAACATACGTATGAAGAAAT